TCCAGCATGTCGGATTGTTTCGACTGCGCATGTGGCTCCACAACAACCACAATGGTACAACTCGAGTCTTGACAAGGCACACATACCGCCTGAACTGTGGAATGATGCCACGCAGTATATTCAAGGTGTTCAATCACCAGCTGAAGCCAAACACTATCGAGATGAATTGACAAGCGACCAAACTCGAATCACAGCAGCATACAAGGACATATATGAGCGGGTGTATAGTGATTGATCGTTGGTGGTGAATTGTGAGGTTGTGATTTTACAACAATGAGTTGCAATGGTTTGATATGAACATGATGACTCGGACTCTATTCAGTCGGATCAACTCGACTACAATTGGTCGTGTATATTATGATTGACACGATCAATTGTAGTTGAACTCGAATACAGATTGACTGTTGAATCACAATGCGTGATATCAGCAACATGATGTGCTATATAGTGGAATGTATACGCTAACCTGACATGTGTCATGTAGTGTGTATTCGATCAATATGGGTATTAGCAATCAACAAGTCATACGATGTTTGTCTTCGAGTGATGCAATGGAGTGGAATGAGTGCATCAATCCAGAATACGAGTCAACCATGACATATGATCATAATGTGTGGTTGATACAACTATATAGTGACAATCGATATTGATATAGTAACACACAACATGAAATGCCAACACAACAGTTGCAAGTCACTGATCATCAATGTGATATTGTGGTTGCAACATGAATTGCATTGTATTGATTCAGTTGATTGATTGAATTACTGGACAATGTGTAGTGATGATTGATCGTGTCAAGTTGAATGCAGAGCATCACTAAACCACAACACATATTGATGACTATCCAACAACTGAGTATCAGCTCAGTTGCATATAGTCTTGTTTAAACATGTATATATTTGTTCATATTTTGGCATACCAACCCTTTTTAGGGTGGATAAGGGTGTAAAACTGCATAATCAACCATATGATATTCGAATGCATAGTCAAGCAGCGGTTCAATCAATATTGCGGGTGATCATATAAAGGGAGATCCCTTCAAAGGTTGACATTAATAACAAGTCATCACCAACCCTGTCAATAAAGCCAATCCCTAAAACGGTCACCCAAGGAACGTGCTTTTAATATTATCCACTCAATAATGGATATAAATACGATCCAGCCTTGCTTGTTGAATACCAATAATTACAACTTGCTCGACCAAACCAAACCAATACAATGAAACTCGCAGTCACAGTATTAGCATCAATCCTGGCCATCTGCTCGGTTACTACAGCCAGCCCAGTTAATCCCAGTGCAGCTGCAAGTGCCGGAGCTAGCACTCCAACCGTCATTCCCAGTGCACAAGTTACACTTTCAGTTGATCTTAGTAAACTTTCAGAAGAGGATATGGATTTGATCAAAGAATACGCACATATAAAGAAGGCTTGTAACGATGAAGAGAAAATACACGACTCGCTACAATCTGAAAAACTTGAACAAAAAGAAGCTCTCGATGAACTTGCAGAGGAGCAGTGGGATTCGGATTTTTTAGATCTCAAGTGGAGATTGGGTGAAATCGAGACACTGCTTCTAGAACGCCTGTTCAAGGGAAATATGGATCAACCAATCGAATATTACATGAAATTTTTGGAAACAGATTCCGAGTTTTTGGAACTCGCCGACACACTTTTCAATTCTCCACCAGTTCAACAGCCAAGATCCGAGCAAGCCTCTACTAGTGGAACCCAGAGTCCATAACAACAAGCACCTCAAAGCTATGATGATGGAATGGGAGTTTCAGAAAATTCTGATACTATGCACTCATCAAGCGAAACGCCTACAGTCCAACCCATTCAAACATCATCCAATACATAGGCAACTTCATCCAGTACACGAAAAACTTCCAGATCTTGTTTTCATTTACGCAGAGCCTGTTCCAGAGTTAGAAATAACCTCGAACCAAGCTGGAACCAATTTGAAAATGAAGATTCATCTGATTGATTTGATTGCTAATCTGTATTGGTTTCAACCGAATATGTTGTATTTTTGTTTGAATACAATACAATACAATCGCCGTTTAATATTGTATCTGATTATTCCAGTTTTGGTTGGCATGATATCATATTGTACATTGACACTTGTATTTACAATACAATACAATACAGTTGATTGTATATTGCATAGTTGTACACATTGATGATGCAGATATGCATGTGTGTATCATGTCGATATGATATTGCTTGACATGCTGCAAGCGACTCTTTGGAACCACTATGCCTTTTGATTCAGTCATTAATACTTGCAAAGCGTTAGTCAATACTTTGATTCCAAATTACCAATTGATATGATGCTACACGAACAACAGGTTCGTCATGTTCAACACTACAAATATCTGGATGTTGTATTGCACAAACCACTGTATCACACCATGCGACTGGACTATAATCAGGTTGCTGTATGCAATAGCATACTACTATGTGTAATGCTTGCAAACCACCAACTCACAGTCAACTTTCAGACACGAATATTCTTGGCAGTCATTCTAGTAATGATCATGTATGCACTGGATCTGGTTGGTGGTTGGTGATGACTTGACTTGCATACACACTCAACAGTCAACAACGGTGTGCTACACATATTGAATCCAGAAAATCCACAACTGTCAATACTTGTTGTTGAAATGGGTTCAGATCACCATCAGCTCACTCACTCGTTGCACCGATGTGATTGCATGATCAACCTGACACCAACCAAACCACATTCGAATAAATATGTTCCAGTCATGTGCATCGTATATCGATTGTCAACTCACAATGTCAACTCCAACACATTCCACCATGATTATGGTCACATCACACCATGCTGATGTATGTCGATCGGTATCACATTGCAAATGACTGTCATCCAATGACTGCAATGCAATACCGTGCATGTATTGTGATTGATACGCTGTGCACCATCAACCAGTGTGCAACTGTCACTTGATATATCGACTCTGATATGCAACAACATGCTGTGTTTACCATGATCAGGTTTTTGATCAATCTTGGACTCATGATACATGATTTGACATGTTGGATCGTGTGGATGTGTCATGGACTGCAATTTAGTTGCAGATACACATATGTTTGACATTGACTGATACATACTGTGCAATGACTGATCAGTGCGGGTGTAATTGCACACTTGGTGGTATTGTGCATTATGGTTGTTTGACAATGTATGAATGCTGGATTAGTCAGTTATATGCAACCCATCTGAATCGACTTATTTGAACAAACACTCGATGTAACTGACAAAAAACACTGCCAGCCAATGTTTGCACAGTACGGATATGGTTTGTTTGCATCAAATCATCACACAATCTGTATCTCAGCACTCGTTTATTCAAAATAAAATGTATTCAACCACATGTTCAAACATGTTCGATCACAGACGGTTTGTGGGATGAACTGCACATCATCGACTGAGCTACACTGCATAATTCACTATGCCATTGATACACACATTCAATTCAGCAATGCAGCAGTATTACAATGCTGACAACTATCAACCAATTCAGTACAATATGTTACAACTAAATAGATTCCATTGACACATCAACAGTCATACATACCGATTGTTGAACATGCTCGTGTTGGTTGGTGTGCATTGATACAAGTTGTCAGAGCCAACCAACAAATCACTGCATCTGTACGGATTGTGTACCATGGCATATGTTTGAACAGACACTGCACGAATCACTGTCATTTGGATTGAATAATCAACAAATACCATTGTGACTACACATGTATGCATATCTGAATGGGTTACAACCGAGTGTATTGCATTTCATGACACTGATTGAAATGTCATGATTGGATATTTTTCCAAATAGTAAAATGGTATCTCGTAAATTGTTGAAATGCATTGATCATGCCAACATTGCATAATCAATTGTATGATACGATTGTATACCGCCGATTACTTTGTTGGTGGTCAGTATCACATGTGTACAATATCAATATGTTGCACAACAGTCATTCAAACAGGTTGGAGCATGCCATATTGTAGCAATGCAATCAACTTGGTACAACACATGTCAATATGCATGTATTGTAGTGTAGCGTACACTAGTAGTGATGATGCAACGAACGACATGCGTGGTTGTAATATTATACGTCGGACCACATGTCCATGTCCATGATTATAGTTATGGGGACATGCCAGTGTTTGATACATACAACGTTACAATGATGGGTCAGTAACAATGTGATGGAATTGAATGGCAATATCAAAATCATGTCCAGAATATGTGATATAACAACAACTTGCAGCCGTATCGATGCAAATGGACCACTGAATAACAGTGTCATGGATATGCAAACAACAGTTGCATTACTGACATGTGCAATCATTGTTGTTGAACTAGATTGCAATCGTATCCGAGATTCAGAGTACAACAAATGTGTGTACAGAGTTGTATTGACAACATTGACAGTCGAGCACAATACATGAATCAGGGCTCAGGATTGATGATTGTGTAGTGCATGGTTATGCCAAATGTAGAGAAAAGGCAGGTTCAACACTATAGTCTAATTGTGTGCATCATATGATGGTTTTTGTATATCAAACACGTAGTCAATGTATAGTATCAACCAACTGAATATGCAATCATTGTATATTGCAATGCAGAATACAAGCAAAATGAATACAAGGGATCCATTTTACATGAATATAGTGGTAAAAGGGAGCTTTTGCGGTTACACAACACCCTTAAAGGGTGTAGACGCATAATATAGTCGACATGAACATTAAACTCATCAATATGATATTATGGATAGGGAGTATTATGCTGTCTAGTTTGACAGTGATACACTACAGACAACCAAGTAGCCCTGTATAGTTGGTTAACCTAAAAGGATCAGGGTTGGTTTACTATACAAACCATATAAATACGATGCAGTACATTCAGTTTAGAATCAACCTCAGCAATCTGCTTTTGCACTAACTGCTTAAACTCATTTATTGGCTTGATGAAATTCACTGACATTTTATTCTTACTGGCCGCGGCAGTAACCGCCAATGCAGTGCTGGTTTCAACTGATAATGATGGTTTATCCGAAGCATCTGGCTTAACGATCAAACTCAGTCCAAGTACCTCTGGCCAAGCCCAGCAACACCCATATGATGAAGATAATTCAAGCAATGCTGGTTTAAACCAAAACGCTCCATTAGACGAAGAAGATCAGAGGGTTCGCGATGAGCTAATCAAAAAAGCTAAAGACGCTAAAGAGAGGGAAAAGAAAGTATGCGACTCTTACTATAAGTATCTAAGCCATGGATTGAAACAAAGTCTAAAATCAAATGGCCAAAAGAGACCTGGATCAAAACACAGCCCAAAGACTGAACATCAATTGAAAATGGAATGTGAGAAAGCAGAAGAAAAATCAAAAGATATGCAGAAAAGGTTGGAAAATTTTATGCAAAGAATGATTTAGAGTTTGGGACAGAGTCGGATTGATGATGTGTCAAGAAACTCGAGTATTTTGAATAAATTTAAACTTTTTGATATTTGTCGAGTATTCTGAATGATCCAACAACTATAGCATTGATTGTGTATATTGCGCTTGATATTAGTAGTATATCAATAGCACCGAACAACACGGTTCATTCGAATGATATTTGTTTGTTCATATAAACTAGAAAACCGAATTTCAATTTGAATGGCAGTTGGAATTATCGGCTATAAATTTGCTACGTTTTGCGACACCGATTCCACAAAAATGACAACTCTGGATCAAACTCGGGTGAAACAACGCAAGAGTTTCTACAAGACTGCACAGATGTGATGACTTTAAATTAAACAATGAGTTATCATCAAGACTTGGCTATTACAGTGCTGACCAACTCTCACTTTGACTGACTGATCGAGGACCTCCTTTACAACCATACTGCCCATTTCTTGTTCAAAATACTGGAAATCATCATTTATTCATTACAATTACAGCAACTTGTAATCAACGTCGGATCAAATATCTCACAACTGGAGTCGCCATTGTCTGAATCGAACTTTAAAATATCCCATTCTAAACAAAAAAGTATGAGAGCAACTCGATCAAATACTTGAAAAGAACAAAGTCAACCCCCACTGATTCAACACTTGTATGTATGTTTGTTTGAATCAGGTCAAGCCTGTGCTGCAAACTAGTTGTTACATCAATCGTCAAAAACAATCCCAGAAAACAAATTCAATATTTCACACTATTTGTCGTTTGCTATAACATGCTTTGGTTCAGTTACATCAGGCAATGTGTCTCGGACTTTATTTGATTGCTCCACTCATCATTTGTCTGTTTTTACCCGAAACGGTCAGATACAAGTGGAAAAAGATTGGATGGTGATTTCTTAAAGGTTCATGGTCACTTTGAATGTTTTACGTCGCGGAAAGAGTTTATATTACTGAAGCAAGCAAGGATGACATGAGACTGGAAATGTCACAGTATTTGATTGGATGTAAAGCTGCAGCAGAGATTAGTCATTTGAACTCGGTGCATGGAATTGTTACAAACTATACGCAGTCGAATTTCTTGCATAGTCTTGATGAAAAGATTGGATTGGACGAGTGCGTTGTGGATATGGATACGACTGGACCTAGTACAGATTATCTTGTCGATATCACTGCCAAAATCTATACAATATTATCTGATGAATGACATGGAGTTGATAAATATATTGGGCTACAGGCAAACAAGTACCAATGTTTTGACTAAACTGATATTGAAGGATGCTCTTGTTTGATCATCCATCTGGACACGTCGAGGTATACCCGTTTCCAGTGTTTTCAATGACAGTGATCGAGTCTTTTCCAGTTGGGGCACTCGACTATATGTTCATTTCTCAACTGATTTTGTTGGTTGAGTTGTTTCGAGTCTTGTGGCATGCTCTGTGTGTCGACATGTGTTCCACTGCTGTGAATTCAGTCATTTTCAGTATTGTCCATTATATGAGCATTGTTGTATATACCCATGACTGCTTTCTGAAATACTGTTGGTGTGGTAACAAAGCAATGTAGTTTAACAACGTAAACCTGCATTCATCACGATATACAACAAACCTTGCCGTTTCGATGCTGTAGAATGTGTATGCCTTTGATTCCGGTTAGTACCTAACCCCGACGCATGCTGTCGTCCTAGAGTCAATTTCTCGAGTGACGATACTGGAAAAAGTACATGTGTCTGACATCCATCTGGACGTAGGTGAGCCATAACTGACTCGAATACATACCATAGCTCGTAAGGCGTCCAGTTGTTTATAGCCGAGTGTGCGACCTATTTTGCAGGTATACCACCGTCATCACTGTTACTGCCATAACTTTATGATCTTGGCTTCAACTAGTATGGACCTTATCACATCCATGATTGGTCAGTTTTGCACTCAGTAACACCATTTTACCAGTATGTGTAGGGTGTTGGCAGCCTCTTGATCCCTGTTCCCGCCAAGTACTGGTCGAATAGAAGAAACCTGAGCTTTGCTCTATTGTCGGTGCACATCATCCGGACTGGTAATTCAGTTTGATTGTCAACCAGCACGACATGTTCCTTGAACTCGTCCAACACTTGATGTTTGGAGTGTAGCATACACACATGTGCATATTTCATAAATCATATACAATGATATGACAGCACTTTGATTGAACTGCTGATTAACGGACAAGAAACCTGACAAGTCCATATGCGAGAGCACGTTGGTTTGTATTTACCAATAATTTGACTTTTCAATGAATGGGAGCTTCGTCGACTTTCTTTTGGTGCATGACATGCTGCGTTTTTCATGCTCGGTATTTGTTGCAACGTCAAGTCATGACTCTTTTGAAGCGCTCTGATGCTTTTTGATAATATGGCCAATCTCTTGTACTGTGCGTCTATATCCACTGATATTCGACATCTCAAACTTGATGCATGGTGATTGATGTCTATTGCAAGTTGTTTGGTCTGGCCAACACCCTGAAATCAGCCATGTCAAGCCATTCGCTTGAAAGGCAGTCATCAGCGGTACACTTTTTGTATTGGTAGATATTTTCCGTTGTTGAAGACCGAAATATTACAGCTTCGTCAAACATCGTGTTTTTGGAAACGAGATTGCTGAGCATGTAGGTATGAATATGACATTGGTAATGCAACTATTTGCTCCATACATTTGATGTTGCAAGTCAGATTGACCGTGCCAACACCTTGCACTGTACTCGTCTGTGCTTGATGACTACTCTTGAATTGTGGTATAGTTTAGTTTGTAAGCCATTGTTTACAGCAAACCATGCAACTTGTGGTTCCAGAGTCTAGTGTAAATTTACCGTCGCTTTGGAAGCTTTTTGTGAATTCCAATTGCACAGTACCACAGTGATCGACCATGTTTGTGTCGATGCTCTTGCTGGATTGTACTCTCGAGTACTTGATTGCCAATTCCAATATGCTTTTACAACATATTACCACGCTTAAATGGATCAGGGTCAGAGTTGTGATCGAGCTTTGATAGTCAAGCAAAACAGATATTCCAGTAACGGATATTTTATCCTGACACTTGGACACCCTAACCATTAAAACCAAAAGCACCCTTTTAGCCCTGCGTGCTGTTGTTTTGCGGAATCTATGCTCACAATCAGGCCGCTCCACAATCCGGTGTTTGAATGCACTTGCTAAACAGTACCTAAAAACATGTGCACTTTATTTGACTTTGAAACAGGTGGCTAAATACAGTTGGCTTTGTACTAGTCTAATCCAGTCCCCCTTTGCTGCGAGCACCCCTATCTACATGCAAAGCCCTGTGATCACAAGTACGATTTTCCTGATTGTTCCAGGCAAATTTGTAATATAAAAAGACAGGGTTTACCGAGATTTTAAACTCATCAAACATCATCTCGATCTACTCCAATCCAATCCAATCTAATCCAACCAAATATGCAATTCACTATCGTCGCATTCATCACTGCTCTTGTCGCATGTGCCGCTGCTACTCCTAGCCCACGTATTGCTCCACGCCCCTGCAGTGTTGATGGTGAATGTCTCACAGGACAAAGATGCAAGATCCCTGAGGGTCAGACAACGGGATTCTGCGCTTTTGAATAAATGTTTTGGTTATATTTGTGTGCCAGCATTCGTTCTAGAGCCTGTTCAAGTTGCATCAACTAGCTTAAACTTGAATTTTGGAATGAATAAACTCCATTTTACAATGATATTTGGCTGATATTGTATAACATGACTTTGCATAGATTTAATCACGAACGGTTGTTTTGTGTTGAGTGGCTTTGTATAGTAACGATCCAAACTGTTGAGCCTGATTGATCAGCATATAAAACGTGAATATGATAACTTGTGCAGGTTTAGAAACTGCATACCTGTGATATTCACCAGTATTGATGTTCCAGATTGCAACCAACAACTGGCAGTTT